ACGACTACTACGACGGCGACTGCTACTATCACGGCTGAAACAACTAATTACGACGACCACTACTTCGTAGAGTAGAGTACGCCTTATGAGACCCTTCTGTCCTTCTCGGATCCCTTGTAGCATCCGTTCAACGGAACCCAGAAAGCTGCGCAGTTGTCGGATGTTTCCGGCTCTCGGCTTCGGACCTCTGCCAGGCTCCGTGTGGCCGAAGTTTGGCTGGACGAGTACAAGACGCCAGGATGCTTAATGGGGAGTTTTAGAAAGCGCGAGGTCTACCTGGACTCGCAAGAGTGTAAATCTTTAGGGACGTTTTTGAAGGAAACAATAAAAGGTGGGTAATTCAAGGTTCCGGTATGGTCCAAAGTCGAGTAATGAATAATTATAAGGTTGTAAGGGTGAAAGGCTCAGGGTGTTGGATTTAGGGCTTGTGGGGTTGAGGGTTAGTAATTGGAAGTTCGATGTAGGATCAGGGGATGAAATTGCGTGGAGTTGCTCCTTGCCTTACCCGGCCTAAATTACATGTAACTTGACACAGGGACCATTCCAGACCACGGCCATGTTTGGCCAGGGCTGTTCTGGGCTCCGTCGGGTCTGCTGCGCTTCGACTGCTTTAAATCATTCAACCCTAAACCCTAAACCCTGAAGCTAAAGTTGGAAGTCGTTTGCTCATAATATAGGGCCCTTAAAATAAATTCCTGTACTATTGTGCGGGCTCCTTCTTAAAATCATAGTAGGTTATACCCCGAAACCCTATTCTAATTAAGGCCCCTAAACCCTAAACCCTAAACCCTAAACCCCTAAACCCCTAAACCCTAAACCCTAAACCCTAAACCCTAATGGGCCCGGACTTGAACAGCTCCGAGGGCCTCAGGAGGGCTGGGGCTTTCAGGCTTCATCTCAGACCCCCAGGTTCCCTTCAAGGAGCAAGGGTTTAGGGTTTAGGGTTTAAGGTTTAGGGTTTAGGGTTTAGGGTTTAGGGTTGAGGGTATTCGGGTTAGATCCACGAACGCAGGAAGAAGATCTGGGGTTTAGGCTCACAGGATATGGCTTTGTCAGGGTGTTGCTGTAATGAGTTTGTCATGAACTTGTCAAGTTGTTCTGCACCTGACCTGACTCTGTGAATGTGCCAGCCAAAGGAATGCATGGAGCAGACAGTCAATACCTACAGTCCTACTGGAACAGGTTCGCCAAGATGTTGGCCAGGCTTGGCTGAGATCACACTGGAAAGATCACTCGTGCTGGATGTCCTGGTGAGCGTCGTGAAATGCAGCAGCTGCATTACCGAGTACTTCGTCGAGCTCGAAAGCATGAGCGAGATCAAACATCAGAGCTAGATCCACACAATGCCGAGACAACAGGGTCGCAAGAATTAAGAAATAGTATTTCGCCTGTTATAATTAGCTTAATGTGCCCCAAAACCCAATTCTGATAAGTCAGGCCCTACATGTGGGAAAATCGCCTAAACCCTAAACGCTAAACCCTAAATCGTTTCAGGTGGGGATCCGAGAAGCCTCCTCCTCAGAACAAGCAAAGCCCTAAACCCTAAACCCTAAACCCTAAACCCTAAACCCTAAACCCTTTCGTTGAGGTTGGTCCACCTGGCAGGGCCACCTCTTTATCGACAACGCAGCCTCGGAGACGCCGCCAGCCCGTTAGAGAAACCCTCCAAACCCTAGACCCTAAAGGTTGTGATGAACGGGTCCGGGCATCTAAGGTTTAGGGCCTGAGGGTATGAAGCCTTTCAGGCTAGAGAGCTAAGGCAGCTGAGGGTTTAGGGTTTAGGGTAGTATCATGGGGTTTGCGGTTTGGGGTTCCGCGGCTTCGAGTTCTCGGGCTAGGATTTCGGGTGTTGGTGCTTTGGATTTGTGTAGTTTAGGGGTTCATTGTATGTAGGGCTTTAGTGAGTGTAGATAGGGCACCTAAACATGAAGTGTAGGCTGTGGCATCTGTGGCCGGCTATTAGATACAAAACCAGGCGGAAGGTTCAGGGCTTGGGGGCTCGGGCTTGGGGCTTCAGGCTTTACTGCCAGTTCGGGTTGTGGTTTAGGTCTATGATAGAAGTTTTGTCTAAGACCTCACTGCGTCCAGGCCAGTTGTATGTTTAGCCGCTGAGCTTTAAAGGAACGGGTTGTATGGAGCTGGAGGCCTGAGTGTAGGGCTTAGGCAAGAGAGTACCCTTTATATCCCCTATGCAGTTACTATATCATGATCTACCCCAAACCCTAGTCTTACGTTTCAGACCTTGGTTAGATAAACCCCTAAGCCCGTGGGTGAAAGGCGCTGGCACAACTTGAGTTTTGTAAGCAGGCTCGGCGCCGGCGTCGTAGTTTGTGGCGTTCAGGGGCCGGCACGCCTGCAAGCATAACTGCTACATGTGATTTGCTGATGAAGCTGCTAGAAATGTTGTTGAGCAGTGCCGGCTAGTTTCCGGGCTAGATCCTAGAGAGCCAAACTCTGAACGACGAAACACCACCCCCTGACGCTTAATCAGGCTGAATCCTCAAACGCCAAGCTACTCTCAAGCCCTCAGCTCATATCACAGCCCAACCGAGAGCCTTGATAGCGCCACACAAAGGTCGCTGGTCGGCGCAACATGCGCCAGAGGCTGCCGCCACAGCCATCCTCGCAGCTGATGCCTATGTCTAAAAGAGTACTACTTATATGCGAATCAACATGATTTGCCTGGCTGCAACACCATCATAGCAATCACCATGATCATCACTACCACCCTCACCATCGTCGTCGCCTCACGTCTCCAGCTTTGAGCATCAACACTTAGGGGCTGAGTAGGAAACCTTTAACCTTTTGGGGCTCATATAATCCTACTATAGATTATAACTAAAAGGTTATACTTTTTTGGGCTAGGGTACTCAGCACCTAAGAACACGAGCATCTTAAACCTGCTCTTGGCAACACTGGCGCTGATACCAGCACGAAGGGTTTTGTTGCTGAGCCAAGGTCGAAAGCTCTAGAGTTTGTAATGGGGGAATCATTACTCAGGGTTCCTAGTGTAACTATGCTATATTTTGCCCCAAACCCTATTTTAATCATGAGATCCCTATATTGCGTGGACTGAGGCCCAGGTGTTTAGGGAGCTTTTGGGGCAGGGCAAAAGTTGTACTTGAGTAGATCCCCATGACTCAGCTCCCTTTCTTTGAGGGCCCTTCAAAACTACAAAGCTAGGATGCCTCCTATAATCCCTTGTTGGGGGTGTACGAATACGGTTGTAGTTCATCGGCCTTTTTTGTCACTCCTTTGTTGAGAAGGCAGATGTTTTGCCTTGGCCAGGGTCCAGGATGGTACTGAGAACTTGAGGCGCGTGCGCCGGTACATTATGTGGGTGGTCTGAGTTGTAATGCTCTCGCCGGCTAGGCTTACACGTGATGCAATGGCACATGGCGCTCGTGCAACCGGACGAGGGTTTAAAGCTCCACACTAAATGCTAAACCCTAGACCAGTCCTCAGACTCTTGGACCAATGAGCCCTGAAATGGGGTGAGGATTTATTGTTTGGGGTTGTGGGTGCTCCTTAAAGGCCTTCCTCGCATGAGCATTGCCGAGGATAGACTGGTTTCGGGGATTGGCGATGGATGGGGTTCCTAGTCTGGCGGCTTTAAGCTTCAGGGGTTTTAGACGGTTTAGGGTTTAGGGTTTAGGGTTTAACCCTAAGCATGGAGGCTTGGGTGCAAGTCCTTTGACTGGTACCTGGATAACGTCGCCACCGAGGCCTTGCCTCTGATGGGAAGATTCATGAAGCAGATTCCGGATGACCACAACATCGTAACATGTCATAAACATGAAGTCACCGGCCGTACTTTCAGCTCACCATTGATCTAGGCCTCAACAAGTGCATGTTGAAAGCAAGTCGCAATGCAGCAGGGGCGTATGTGTGAGGCTTCATCCTAGGATAGTACAGGGCTGCAGGTCATTGTAGGTGACCTCTAGTTGTGCAATCCTGCCGCAAATTGACGGTTTTGGGGGGCCTTAAGAATTACCAATACTAGTTTGGGAGCTCCTTATGAAAATTATAGTATAATACCCCAAAACCTTATTCTAACTATTAAGGCGCCTATATCATCTTCTGTTGGCCAAGAACTTACAGCTCATGTCGCTTTGGTCCAAACAAAGGGCAGGTCTGACGAGAAAGTTAACACCTAGCAGCTTTTTGCGGAGCCGGTCAACTGGGTGTTCCTTCGGAGTCATGTGGGTGGTTGTCAAAATTATGGTCCCTTTTTGGGTCCTTCTTATAATACGGCACCTATTATTTAGGGTACCCCAAAAGGGACCATAATTTTGACAACTACCCATGTTTCAATGCTTTGTAGTACTTCTAGTGTAGGCACATGTGCTCCTCACATGTGGTTTCTATGTTGGGCCCAAGGCGCTTACCTAGCCACGAGCAGATCTTGAGTGCGAGCTCCGTCTTCGAGTTGTCATGGTTGCTACTGGAAGTGCTGCACAGTCACAACGAGTCCTTCGAGGAACTCGGTTGACCTTGCTTGTACTGGCAACCTTCACTAGGTTGCATGCTCCAGACGGTTTCAGTATAGGCGGACAGGAGCCATTGCGCAAACTCCGCGATCGCAGCGGGTTGGAGATGCCCAGCCACAGCATAGAACCGTATGATTCTTTCACGAAGGAGGGGCTACAGCTGCTCCGGAAAGTTACCGATGCGGGCGACAGAGGTGACTGGCAGCAGGTTCGCTCGCTTTTCTCTGGCTACGCAGGCACGGAAACTCCCGTCTATAATGCAGTAATGCACATTGCATACAGGTGTGGCCAATATCGAGAAGCTGCTCTGTTGTACGAGCGGCTGTGCAGCCTGAACATGACAAAAACTGCACCAACATTTACTGCCGCACTTTTAGTTTATTCGAAACTAGATGACCAAGCCGCAGTGCACAGGGTGTGGTCAGAAGCTCGGCAGACAATTGAATTGGAGCAGCCAATGGCTGGTGCTCGCATTGCCGCAGCTGCCAGAGCAGGAGATGTCGAGACTGCAGCCGTGGTTCTGGATGAAATGAACCAAAGCCGTGTGGAAATCCAAGTTTCACACGTATCCTCTGCAATTCGCGCCTGTTGGGGAGCTGCGGGACAACATCACAATGCTGCGAAGTACCTGTTCAACGTATTGCCCGACCTTGATGTGGAGCCGGACATTGTGACATTCACAAACCTGGCTGGCGCATACTCGACGGCTAAGCTTGAAGATGTCTTGACAGTCTATGCTACGATGCGAGATCTCGGCATCAAGGCGAACAGAGTTTTTGCCGAAGTATACTTGGCCACCTTGTTGAGCATCCCGAAGAAAGATGAGCAGCAAACCCACAGGACGGTGAATGAGATCATCTCCCACCTTCTGGAATGTTCGAGGAACCGTGTTGCTGCTGCGAGGGTTGCGCTGACTGATTTCAAAGCTGCCGGCATAGACCTGACTGCTTTTTGCCAAGACATAGATAAGGCGCTCCAGCAGCTGGAAATGATTGGAATTGATGAGGAGTCGTTCCTTAGCCTCTGCCAGCACATGTACATTGTTCCGGAATGCAGTAAACCACTTGGGGTGTGCACTCACACCTCCCTCCCACACACATGGGCCAGAGGTGCGGCATGATGTCTACCAATAGTTGACAACAGCCAGCAGCAACTTAGCAGCTGAGCAGTAAACCGTTGAGGTTTGAGGGGCCTCAGCAGCCGGGACAAGTTCTGTGAACCCTAGACCCTAAACCCTGAGCCGTAACCCTGAACTCCCTAAAAGATGTTCAAGTATGTATTGACTGCTTGAGCGCAACCAAATACAGAAACCCCTCGAAAGAGCTTGTTGTCAGATCTTTGCACCTCGGCTGTCTCCGGTTGATGCCGGACGAGGCTGTCGATGGGTATCCAAGGTTTCGGGCTCAGGTTCTGGGTGTAAGGTTGGGTTCAGGATTTCCGATTCGGGCTTAAGGTTTCAGGTTGGTTTGGGGCGGCTTACGATGCCCTGCAAGTCTTGCAATATGCAAGAAGGGTGCTTCTGGCAGTTCGTGTGGGGCAAACACACTCGAAAGGATCCATGTCCCTGAACGTATTCTAAAGTTGTTGGGATCGTTGACATGACCGTGCTCACCTTCCCCCAGCATCGTGCATAGCTATTTTTGGAGGAGGTTATGACCGTGATTCTGCGAATTCATAAGTGGAATGATGCATAAGGGCGCAGCACGCGAGACTTGAAGTACTTCAACGGGGTCCTGTTAAGACTCAGCTTTCTGAGCATTTATAGGTCTAGAACAGTTCAACGGCTGGGCTAGGAGACTCGACAACCCAGGAGTAGTCGCAAGCCACCTGACTTGTTCACTGTTAAAGCCCACGCTTCCGGCCCAAACGCTAAATCCTAAAGAGCTCTGAAAAGTAAAAGCCCAACCCTAAACCCTGGCCATCACGTGCCTCGCATGGTAGACATCCTCGCATCGAAACCTTTGCCGTCTGGTAGGATCAACTGTGCAAGAATATAGGAGGGTGTTTTGGGCTTCATAGAATGTTGCAGTTGTTCTGAAGTACCACGAGAGCAACTGCAACATCAAGCTGAGGATGATTCTGGATGCATTGAAATCCTCCTGTACGTACCGCAAATGTCTGTAGCTTTTTGTTTGCTGTTTGGGGCCGTGACAGCATCGAGGCAATTTTCGGAGCTTAAAGCAACCATATACCGTAATCGTGACCCTTCCGCACCATGCTCCGTTTGCGGATCGTTTTCGCAGTATAGACTGTGATGCACGCAACAACGTTAAAGATCCCGAACGGGGACAACGTAAGATATGTCGTGACAGGCAGCTTGCGCAGCGCGGGGCCAAGTTGTTTTCCAGCTGCCAGACTCCCATTTTGTAGTTGAGGGCTGTTTTAGGCTCGGCTGGACTGGTGTTTCAAGGTACCTGAGTCGTAGAACCTAGAAAGAGAGAACGGAACGTTGCAGATGCCCCGAGAGCATGATTTGGTTTCGTACTCGGCCTCAGGAGACTTGCATGATTGCTCACCTCATAGACCAAGCTCTTGAACCACGAGGTTGGGTTGATGGATGGAAAAGTGGAGGATGAAATATTTCCATTTTCCAGAACCATGTGGTATTTCAACGTCATATCTTCTAGCTTTTAGTTCCTGCTTTTCTTTGTCATTTACCGGACCCATTAGGAGTTAAAGCCTGAGACCAGATCGTGGACCCGAGTTCTAGACCTATTCATTATGCCCCAGCCCCCTCCCAAATCCTAAACCTAAACCGTAACTCCGAAACCCTGAACACAAGAAAAGCAGAGAGCCAGGCATTAATGGTCAGGCTTGCCTCGACACCCGCTTCGAGGAGACGATGCTCTGTTTTAGAGGTTGGGGGGTTTAGGGTTTAGGAGGGTCCTGTCTAGGGTGGTCTTACGGTTTTGGGTTTTGGGTTTATCGACCTTAAAGGAGTACTTACCTGAACCCGAGAAGCAGAGAGCTCTTGGAGATTCCCAAGATTACCGCCCATTTGGGGAAGTCCTTAGCATAAGAGTCACGCACTTTCTTTTGAGATCCGCCATAGTGTAGAAAACTACCGGACGATGGCTTTGCTGGACTCTAGCTACCTCAGAGGTTATAGCAATTTGTAAAGACCGTATTTTCTAGCCTATGCAAAGATTCGAGGTACCCCAGGGTCGAGAGAAGAAGTCGGAAGTGGCGGGCTGCAAATGCGAAGCCAAGGACATTCAGCGCTTTCAGTGTAGAATTCTGGATTAGGCTGTGCCCGGCACTTCGACGGATGATAGGATTTTGGTCGTCTGGCAAATTGGGAGTTAGGGCATTGGGAACCTGTGATCCTAAGTCATGAGCACAAGCGCCCCAACAACAACAACTCATTCATTCAGACGCTCGTGTGGGTTGTCCCGCACCTTGGCGGGCATGGGGGGACTGTGAGTGAAACAGTGGCTGACCTGAGGTGTGCAGGCTTCGGCGAGGTGCGACCTTGCATGCCGTCCCGTGGGATCAGCGCATGCACTCTTGCAGCCGCTCCGCGGAGTTAGCGCCGCCGAGTAGCCTGGGGAAGCAAGATTAGCTTCGACAAGAAGTTTGTTTGTTCATGGAGCTGCTGTCATGGCTGGCACAAGTGTCGCAAGCTGTGCTCGATCGGGCAGAATGTTTGTGTATCTTGTCTGCAGCAATGCAAATACGTCAAGCTCGTCTACGTTAGCTGGATTTCCCAAAGCAGCGCTTTAGGCAGCTGAGACGGCATTACAGTATGCGCAACGGTGGAGTCGATGTCGTAGGTGTGCTTTATGAAAATTGATCTCGAAATTCGACGACAACAACAGCAGCAGCAACAACAACAACAACAACAGCCACAACGGCAACCGCAGCGGCGGCGGCAGCAGCAGCACCTGCAGCAGCGCAGCAGCAGCAACGGCAACAGCAACAACACCACCATCAACAACAGCAGCAGCAGCAGCAGCGCACGACGTCAACTGCAAACACAACCACAACAACAACAACAACAACAACGACAACGACAACGACAACGACAACGACAACGACAACGACAACGACAACGACAACAACAACAACAACAACAACATCAACGACATGAACAACATCAATACCATGAACAGCAACAGCAGCAGCAACAACTGCAGCATCATTAATAACTGGAACTAACTCAATGGCAACACCCTGCAACTATACCTTCAGCTGCTAGTGCTATTACTAATTAATATCACGCCTTGGCCCCAAAACCGCGCTAAACCAACCCCAAACCCCAAATCCTAAGCCCTAAACCTGTACAAGCCTTATATCAAGACTAAAGACCCTACGTGTGCCCAAATCCTAAACCCTATAGACCTTATAATCCCCAAGATAGCTCTTGTCTCCTTGGAAGGACATGATGGGCGCGGAAATCGGTGCGGCCCCTTGCAAGAACGAGCATGGTAACCAGGAGTTTCGGGGAGTGGGGCTTCATACAGGGGCCTTATAGTAATAATTACCTATACTGTTTTTATTCTTCCTTATTATAATTGTGGTATTATATACCCCAAAACCCTATTCTACTTATTTAGGCCCCCCCCCATTATTGGCGTCGGGCGTGTATGGTTTTCGGGCTTAGAAGGCAGGGATTCAAGGTTTAGTGGTGTAGGGCTTGGGGCTTTTAGGGTTCGAGCATCGCAGGGCTGTTTTGAGGTCTTGGGCCAGTGCATTTGGCCCTGAATACATCTGGTATACGGGTTGTACCTCAAGGGACTCCATAGTGACATTATAATGTTTGGTCTCCCTATAGGTACCGAGGACCCTTTGGGGTCGTTGGGGGGGGCAGGTCGGAACGCCCAGCCAAACCTGACAGCCCTAAAACCCAAGCCCAAGCCCGATACCCTAAACCCTGAACCCTAAACCCTGAACCCTAACTAAACCCTAAGCCCTGGGCCTCAGAATCCCATAAACTTTTAGCCCTACACGCCCTCAACCCTAAACCTTAAACTAAGCCTAAGCCTTAAGCCCTCTAAACCCTAACGCTTTTTTTTATTAAGAACTTAAACACACTCAGACCAACCCGTTTGGGAACCTCAAAACCCTTGTAATGGCCCTCGTAGTTCTTGGGTTTGCTTAGTAAGGGTCC